CTCCTACAGTCAGATTGGTTCAAAGTTTTCAATCTAAGGAAAACTAGCTGATTGCATCGACTTCTTAACTCAGCAGCAATCCCTCACACCTCCTTTAGAACATTTTCTCCTTGGCTTGAAAAAATTCAGCTTGTGTTATAGCTGATAGCAGAAAATATGTTGACTTTTGCTTTTCTTTATTTTTGAATTTGCATCAAAAACAAAACCAGCATGAAACTCATTGTGCAAAATTTTTCATTTATATATTTGCATTTACATTCATACAAAATAAAAGTAAAACTTTCTCCATGAATGAAATGAGTCTTGACATTGATTATAATTGCAGGGACATCAGTAAAAGTGATTTAACAATAGACAATATTCTGAAAAAAACAAACAAAAAACAACCCACAACCTGTAAGTTATAGAACCTTACAGTAATGCCCAATTTTCACAGACTCTTTTTAGAACACGTTTTTAATTATTATTTTTAAATTCTGTTCAGGACTTGCTTTTGTTGTTCTCAGGAGAAGGTAATAGGTGCAAAATGTGACTTGAACAGACTGCTTTTCACTGATTGACCATTGGATTAGGTTTTTGCAGTAGTCCTGGGAAACCTACAGAGAGCTGGGACCAAAAGTACCAAAGGCTAAAATCAGCAATACAACATGAGGAGAGGGACTCACATCCTGCAAAGCAATGTCTTCTCCCTGCTAAAGTCAGTACATGTCCAGGCCCATCTGAAGATTGCCAGAGAACATATGGATGATCCAACAGAGGTTTGGGAGAAGATCATGTGGTCACATGAAACCAAAATAGAATTTTTTTGGCACAAACTTAATTCACAAGTTTCTTCCCCAGAACGATGTAGCTACTGTGAAGCATGGGATGGAAACATCCCGCTTTGGGACTGCTTTTCTGCAAAGGGAATGGGACACCTGATCCGTGTTGAGGAAAAAATGAAGAGGGCCATGTATTGTGAGATTTTAACCTAAAACCTCCTTCCATCAGTGAGAGCGTTGAAGATGAAACATGGCTGGCTGATCTAGCATGATCCAGACACCCAACTCGGGCAACAACAGAGTGTCTCCACAAAAACAGGAGTGGTCTAGCCAGTTTCCAGACCTTTACCCCATAGAAATCTGTGGTGGGTGTTAAAAGTAAATGTAAAAACCCCAAAACATCACTGCTCTAGAGGAGATCTGCATGGAGGAATGGGCCAAAATACCAGCTACTGTTTGTGCAAACCTTGAAAAGAAATTAGCCTGACGTAGTCCGACTCAATTCTAGTCAGAATGAGTCTGATGCTGCTCCATAGAGCTGTGGGGCGTGTTTCGAACGAACCAGGAAAAAAAATGCCTCTGCACTCAATTGGATAGACCTACAACCAATAAGA